AGATCGAGGACCTAGCCTTGATCACTACACTCAGAATGGAAGTTATGGCATTACTGGGTTCCAATGGGGCCATAGAAGCACAGAAAAGCAAGAGGTTGCCTGTCGTAAACGCCTGCCTAACTGATGACGCAACTCTGGCGCAACACGAGAACTCTCTGAGCGTATCGTGCAGCCACTGCATTGCAAAACAAGTTAGGGGAGCTGCCACAAGGAAAGGGGATGCTAACTTTGGATTGCTGATATGGATGGCTTCATTTGAAGTTCAGGACGGCTGAGGAGAGTGGCCCAAATCAACTCTGAACGCCCCAAGTCATAGAGGAAAAACGGAATATCTTGTTGTTCTTTGAGATAGTGCATCGCAACAGGATCATGCAACACCAGCGCAATTATCTGATAGGTTTGCTGTAACACCTGAATGGTGCTGCCAAGGAACTTATTGAGGTTATCTTCGCTTTTGCAAATCAAAGCAAGTTTGTTTTCCTTGGTCTTCTGTGTTAGAACACCAAGAAATTTGGAAGGCTTCTAACATGCAAGAGTGTGACTCATATGAGGGCTGCAGTTTTCCTGCACCTGCGAGATAGCAAGTTCAATAAGCTGTCCAATTCAGCAAGTGGATTGGATTGCCGTTAAGAATCGCTGAAAATGTGGCGGCAAGGCAACGACCAACTCAGGCTGCCGACATTTAGCGCAATTGCAATCAATTTTAAGCAGAAGATTGAACTGAGTATTTGCCAGGAATGGCCGCAACAGCCTCAGTATAGACGTCGATAAAACCCTGAAGATTATTGGGCTTTTTCACTGGCCAAACTGATGTAAGCTTCAACAAAAAGGTGACTCATTCTGGCTCAAAATGTTTCCTCAATGCTGTATCCGTTGGCAGCACGAAATAGGGCAGCTTGTTTGTGGAATGGCGCAACAAAGAAGCACAGTTCTCTTTGGACCACTGAGCACACGAAAGGACCTAGAAACAGCTGCAACAGGGCAGTAAAGGCCAGCGATATTCCTGCATATTTGCTCACGCAGTGAGCTGGGGATCTCGAATTGAAAACGATAAGAGGTATTTCGCCTCCTGCAAGCGGCAATCTCGGGGAAATTCTTCAAGGCTTCCCTTTTGCTTGATCTCTCGCATCATGATCAGTTGATTGTTGCTTGCGGCTTGGATGAAAAACAACCGGTGTTTCAGGAGAAGTCAGCTGCCCTTTTGGTCAAAGGGAGTACCACAATTTTGAATATCGATCATGAAGATGGACTCTGGGCAGACTCCAATCTGCTTGAGCAGGTCACAGGAGTGGCATCTAGGCATGAACAGAATTGCTCCTTGATGCACCGAAACGATGACATTGCCCGCAGTTGTGCCCCCTGGATGGCAACTAAGAGAAGTGCCATTCTTCAGAAAATGGGAGAGCTCTTCCACCTTCCCTCGGATTCTGACAAGCAGATATTGAAAAGCACCTTTGTCAGCAGTGAAGTCTTCATCGTCGCGGCTGGGAGCAGGCATACATTCCGGTGCGTTCCATTCTTCAAGGAGGCCATTTCTGTGGCAGGGCTGCGCAAAGGCCTTGAATTTGCTGGAGTTCAGGCACATCGTTGCAGCTTCCAGTCATTATGACGCACGGAGCCTGCAGAGGTAATGGATTTCTACATCATCTTTGTGCCAGATTATCTTGGAAATTTTTTGTCTGGTGAGTTGATGATATTCGTCCTGACCTCTGATGTCGCATAGCCTTCCTTGGCCAACTCGATCACTTCCAGAGTGGCTGTTGAGGAAATGCTGTCTAGGATTTTCGGAAATTTAGTTGATGGGCTTGCTAGCCCATCTGGGCGCATCAACAACCTCTTGCAAAGCCATGATCTGCACCTTTTCATTCGAACCCATCTGGACCCAAGGAGAGGCGCTTCTGGACCCAAGGAGAGGCGCTTAAACACCAAGTAACGGAGCTGCCCAGTGGAGTCTCCTGCATCGCAAGCTGCTACTCACAGCTATTGCAGCTGTGGCTGCCCGGGCTGTCCCTGGAGTGGCTAATCGACATGCTAGCACACCAGTTCCCGATGCCAAGTCTTGAGGAGCCCTTTTCACAAACTAACGGTCAGTAAAAGCAAGAACGCCTTTAGGACTTTTACTGGCGTGCCACGTGCTTTTGTTTCAGCTGTCAGCCAAACTTCCGCTCAGTTCCTTTCAGCGTAAGTTTAAAGGTTTGAGTTGTTTCGGTTCTGGACTTTAGGTCCAGGTAACGGATGTTGAGGTTTTCCTATGCCTCCACAATGCCTCCACTGCAATATACATTTCTATGCAAGTCTTCTTTCACTCAGTACAAACTTCTGTCCCCCTTCTGACTCTAACACTGTGTTTTCAAGCTTATTGTAGACGCCCTGCAAGCTGACAGAAGTTGTCGTGGAGATTTCGCCCCTGTAATGCCAAATCTGAAAACACACTGGAAAAGACTGGACTGCGCGGAGAATGCATGTTTCTCGTGCTTGACCTGAAACTTCCAAAAACTTCGTGTGTCCTTGGGGTAAGTGTGCATGTGTTGCACACGTCTGGTAACAAAAACTCTACGAAACACGCTCTTTCGCTGCTCTGGAATATTTTGCGCAACTGCTTGATTCTGGCGCCACTTAGATGAAAGATATTGGCTTCTCCACCTTCCAAAGTGTTCAGGGTCAGTGCGTGCTGGGTTGTGTTTGAGCTCTGCATTTTTCACGCCTTCTTGGCGCGCTCCTCACTTTCGGCTTTGACCTTCGCTTCTTTGAGTTGTTGACGGTCCAAATAACATTCACGTGGAACATTCCACAAGCTTTGACGTTCTCAATCTGCTTCTGGGTCGTCGCTTTTGTGAGGCTGGTCATCAGCTCATCGTCGCAGTTTTTCATCATCGTTGTCCTGCTTGTCGCGGTCATTGTCACTCTTCCTGTTGTCTTCTGAAGCATCCGAGCCCTCGTGATCGGACTGGGTGGAATAATCACTCGAATCCACATCCGACCCCTCTTGCTAAAGCTCAAGCTCAGCCTCGGGCTGGGTGTATCCGCCAACTTTGGAATAAACGAGTGGCCCGTATGGGGATGCTTTGACACAGAATGCTTTGGAAATGCAGCTTGTTGCTCAAGAATACTCAAGACTGATGAGGCAACGAAAGAAGCAATCACTGGCAAAAAGGCGCACCGAATGAGGTCGTCCATCTCATTCTTGATGAAGAAAATGGTCAAAAAAACCCTAGGATAAACCAAAAGTAGGTAATGTCAACCACACTAAGCCCTGACTAGGCTTTATGAAAAGCTTGTCTACGAACCGCCTATCTAATGTCGGTTATATATCGTCTAACCCAGAGACCGAAAACAACGAATAAGACTACTGAAACCAATTTTTTTTGTTGGGGCGGAGTGGGTGGGTTGGAAGTCAAGCCTGTCTAATTGGGGAGGTTGAGTTTCTTAGTTGGGTGCGTCGAGCTTGGGAGAGATGAAGGTTGTTCGGGCGGGGGGAGGAGCGTGTTTACATGGGGGGGTTCATTATTTGGAAGAGACAGGAAAAAACATGAGCATACGAGATCCTTGCCCCATCGACCCACCTCCAATAAAACAACAAACCTTGTCATGCAATTTTCAAAAGTTATGGGGCCGAGCCTGTTTAAATGTGGGTCTTGTTAATCGCGCGGAATTTTTTTTGGAGGTTTGCAGCTTAGCCGGATTACTTGGTGAGGGTGTTTAAATTGTGCTGAAGGTGTCCACCCGCGCCAAAACCTGACCAATTGGGGGGGTGTTTACTACTCACTAACGCTAGCTGCAGTAAATCGCAATAGCCTTGGCCCCCATTTTGCTCTTAATCTTGTTGTCCACTGCCTGCGTAGCCTGCCACATGCATGTGACTCTGTGGACTTTGTTGAGACGTCGTGTCATGTCGTGTCGGCTCGTATCATGCCAACAGTGAATTCCCCCCCGCCCTACAACCAAAACCCGATGGAACGCCTGAATTTTTTTAAACGCAGCAAAGGAGCTAAAGCCTAAAAGGCCGAAGAGCACCTCCAAACATCTACGGACAAGACCCAGGCCATTAACTCAATAAGGTCATCCCTGGTGCTTACATGTCCAACAAATCCAGCAAGCCACATGCTTTGACTGTTTTGAGTAATCGCAACATGTGCGTAGATACCGATGGGCAAGTCGAAGCGCGCATCGAAGCAGGCGTGGTCCGGCTGTGATGAACAGCTGGCAACTGTTGACTTACGCCTCGGGCATGATTGCTTGACTCTGCCTGTCAGGATGGTGCTTGCAGCATCTGTTTTTTTGGTGTTCATGTGGGCCCTGTTCTCTCAAGTGTGTTGTGTGTCGCATCCCGGTTACTTTGCACGTTGCGTCGGCTGCAGCACCTGCGCCACGTGCAGGTTCCTGCGGAGAAGCAAGCTGGAGGCAGCGAGAGCGATGTGGAGCCTGCCTTTGCATTAAATGGCGCTACTGAAGGTTTAGGGCTTAGGGTTTGGGGTTTGGGGTTTAGGGTTTAGAAGATGTGAGCAACGATGAGCAGCAATGTTTTGCATGACATGCCACCACAGTAGACCGAGTGAGGCCCGCACCGGCAGCCAGACCAAAGAGGCTTCTAATCAGGTCTTTATAGTTCCACATGCACGGGCCAAGGGGACTAGATTGGTTTATTGAAAACGGAGAAGCCGGAGACCAAAAAGCTGCACCCCAGTGCCCCCCATCCAAAGGATGTGCGCCTGAATGCGCCGCTCGAAGCATGGCTTCGCCCTCTTGGCCTCCAGCGGCTGTTGACTCTTCTCTCGCGTTTGGGGGCTTTGGGGGGTGTTTCGGGGGGCTTCGGACTCCGCAATTGAGAAGTTGTATCTTCAGAGGCGCGGTGGGGTGATGCCGCAGACTTACGCATGAGGTCCTCACACCGTTGAGAAGGGGGGGTCTTTGAGATGCAGTGCGTAGCGGAGCGCAGCTTCGAAGCCTTCTCGGGGATATGATTTTCATCGTTCTCTCTGGAATTGAAACTCCGCTCCGTCATGGGAATCGTACCCAGGCAGAGACTCCAAGTCCGAGTGGTGGAGGAGCTCGGCCAGCTTTCGCTGCTCCCCCTTGTGACCAGCAAGGTGCCGCGGTGCCTCCATGGGGCGTTTTTTGGGGCCTTTCAGAGGGGTTCAAGGCGATTGCAAGGGGGCACAGCTGGTATGGAGGTCTCCGCCTTGCCTCTGCCGGGCTGAGTTGTGTGCAGTTCCGTGTTCGCTCGTTGTTTGTTTCTCGCCTAAATTTTGGGGGTTCTTCGAAACCAAAGCAGCGCTCGCAGCTTTCAAGACTCCGAGGCAGCCTTGGAGGCGCTCGCGCGGCTGAAGAAGCCCCTGGAGAGATGTGCCAAGAGCGACAAGGCCCCGAATGGGGAGGCGCAAGTTCACCTCACTTGAGCCATGTCCACACGGAAAGATTGCCAGGAGGATCGGATGGGAGAGCCCGTGATGTTTAAGTTCAAGGGCCTCCCGAGCTTCAAGGTGCACGTCGAGGTGATGGATGAGGCGCTATGGCCCAGCATCCGGTCGGTGGACCTGCACTGCGGCGGGGACATCAATGACCGCTTCAAGCCCGACTTTCAGCTGCCCCACCCGGACATGGTTTTCACCGAAGCGAAGCAGTACTGGCGAGAGCGCTTCAGCAGAGGGTACATGGAGGCGCGCCACAAGGCAGGGGACAACACCACCCACCCAACGACGGCCATGGGGCCCTTGTGGGTGAAGCATGGGCCGGATGCGATGGTGGAGTTCCTTACTGAGTTGATCGTAGACGCTGTGCTGGCCATTGTCAAGGATGGTAGCCATGAGCGGATGCGTGCCTTTCGTGCCTTTGCCCCACAGCTGTCTTCGACAGAGGCGCCCGTGGCTCTTGGGGCGGCTCCCGAACCGGCTCCCCAGGCTCCCGGGGCGACGGCAGGGCTTCCTGGCCTTCCAAAGCTGAAGGGTGAAGATTCTGCAGACTCTTACCTCCGAGCCGATCTTCTCAACTTGTTTTCGCCCGAGGCGCCCATGGCGGCGTTTCCCAAGCTGAACGGGGAGGACGTCTACCTCCCCGCCGACCAGCAGACAAGCCCTCCGCTTCTCCTCGGCCTGGCCGCCGGGGTCTGGAAGGCGGTGAAGCGGAGGGACCAAGCCTTACAGCAAAGCTTGGACAAGGTTAAACGGATCGCCGGCGGCGAGCTCTTGAAAGCTGCCCTGAATGCACCGGTGGCCTATAGATCTGCGAAGAAAGGAAAGCTGCTGTCTGGCCCGGTCCTCATGTTCCTCTTAGAACAGGGTGAGCAGGACGAGTTCGACCAGCTGGTTGCCCAGGACCTTCAAACAGCGTACAGCAGCCGCATCCAAGCGCTACTGGACGCAGGGGCCCGGATCAATGCCAGGTACTTGATGTATCCCATCGGAACAAACTGCGGCCTGGGAGAGTTTCCGATCATCTGCCTGGCAGGGCATGATCCGACCATCACCGCATTCTTGTTGGAACGCGAGGCTGACGTCAACCGTCCCAGTGTTCACAATTTCTTTCCTGCAGGAAACCCGCTTTGGATTGCCATTTGGCGAGGGCAAGAGGCCATGATCGACAAGCTGCTCGAGCGAAAAGAGCCTAAGGACGGTGAGTCGAACATGCCGAACGTGTTCCTCGATGTCAATAGTTTTGGCTGGTATCCGGACTCCTCGCCTCTGACACTCAACCAAGAGCCTGCCGGGTGCAACGTGCTGGCGTTGGCCTCAACGCTTCTGGGTATCCGCCACATCAACAGGCTCCTGGAGATGGGTGCACAGCTGGGTGACTGTCCGAACGAGTTGGCTTCTTTCCTTCTGGAGAACGCTCGACCACTTGCCCGGCATGTGGCCAAGGGCCAGCCCCAGAACATGGCGAATGGCAGCGTGCTTCAACAGACCAGCGGTATGAGGATCGAGGTACTGGTACAGGAAATCTTGCGTGATGATGAATCGCGGAGGCGATTCTTGGATGCGATTGACAGGGCCTGCCATAGTCTTGGCTCCGAGGACTACTGTGCTTTCATGCGGATGCTGTCCGACCTGATTGGAAGGGCTCCGGCCGCAGCCGCCAGGCTCTGTGATGAGAGCCTGCAGCAGCCCAAGGTGAATGACCATCGCCGCCACCCACTCAGAGCCTCGTGCCTCTTCTCGAAGCATGAGCAGCAGTACAACGCCTATGTGGGCACCTGGGTCTGGGACAGCGAAGCCCCCTTTGCCGATAAGCTCGCACCGCCGCCACAGTATCGCAGATCTCTGCGCGACATACTGATGATAAAGGACAGCATGCATATCTGCGGATTTTTCCGCACCTTCTGGGAGATTGCTAGGGAAATTGTGCTGCCGGACCAACGCCAAATTCTCTTTTGCAACATTTCCGTCCTGCGCACGCCGACGATTGTCCGATTTCAGCAAAATTCAGGGCTGTTTGGCTTTTGGATCGAAGGTCAGAGATGGAACTTCAGGGTCCAAGCTGCTAGGCTGCTAGGGCTGCTCGTTAGAGTTGAGGGAAAGAAGCCAGGAACATCATCAACATCAGCATCCTGAGAGCGATGAACGGCCTCCCCCAAGACCAGCTTGTCTGCCTCTTCAAAGACAGCGCGGTGTTCAGAGCCATCGCATTGTACGTCTGGACTGTATATCAGCCAGCGCAGCTCGGCATCTTCAGTTCCCATTCGCAGACGGTGTCAGTTGTAGATCTTCTTCAAGGCAATACGCAACAGCCTTGCACAGCATTCCTGAACTAAGCCTTCCACGCTCCTCTTAGCCTGCCAGAGAGAGGGAGAGAGAGAGAGAGAGAGAGAGAGAGTGTGTCAGATTGCAGGATCTGCCCCCTGAAAGCAAGCCACTTGACTTGGGGGCCCTGTAAGGTATTTCATCGATGTTTGGAGCACTTTCGCACAGCTGGTGTCTCTTCTCGTGTGGTGGCAGTGCCTCGGTGCAAGCAGATGCCCGGGCTGGGTGTTTTTTCATCATTGCTCACTGATGTCAGTGGTTCTAGGGTCTCGGCGCCATTTTATTTATGGGCAGGAACTCTGGCAACAGCACCTGGGTGGTGATTCTTTGGATTGGCTTTACCTCCGTGGTCTTCCTGGACACCTCGAACTTGCTGCTGAACCTCGCCCAGCTGGAGCTCCCTTCTCGCAAGCTCATGGTGCAGGTGATCATTGGCTTCTGGATGTCGGCCTTGACACTTGACAAAATAAAAGTTGGGGCCAAGACCGGGGGGTTTCCCAGGTGCTTAGGTTGCTCCCTTGAACGATGGGCGATTAGGCCCTCTAATCCCCTACTCGTATAATCAACCCTACAAAAGGCCTTTTTAAGCGGTTATGGGGTAACCCGTAAACCCTAAACCCTAAAACCCTACACCCTAAACCCTAAACCCTAAACCCTAAACTCCAAACCCTAAACCCTAAACCCCAAACCCTAAACCCTAAACCGTCCATGCTGGGAGATACCTCAGAGATGCACCCCCAAGGACCTGGGGAGGCACCCGCGCGGACAGCCACTCTGCCATGGCCTCGGGCCTCCCCCTCTGCCTCATGGGCATCATGTACGAGCCGCCTGAGATGAAAGTGGAGGGAGGGAGGGGGAGGGGAAAGTTCTGGGCCCTTGCTGTCGCATATATATATATATGTAATGTATGTATGTATGTATGTATGTATGTATGTATGTATGTATGTATGTATGTATGTATGTATGTATGTATGTATGTATGTATGTATATATATATATATATATATGTTTTTGTTTTTTTTGTTTTTTGGTTCCTTTTTTTGAAGGAGTCCCCTCCCCCCCACTTTCGAGGCTCCGGCTCTACCACCCCCTGGGCCTCCCACTGGGCCGCAACCTGCTGCCCATCCTCAAGGCCGCCCAGACCAAGGAGTTCGTGGCGATGCTGATCCTGATCATCTCCATCCTGCTGGCTGGGGTTTAGGGTTTGGGGTTTGGGGTTTAGGGTTTAGGGTTTAGGGTTTAGGATTCGAAGGTAAGAGTGAGAGAAGAGCAAAACGTGAGCCCAAAAGATGGCGCGGTTGATCCTGTAGATGCCCTGCAGAGGCGACCTTCCTGGCCGCCTGTGTGGAGTTCCGGGAGTTCGAGGGGCAGCTGCTTCCGGTCGCGGTACGTACATGGCAGACCCTGATCGTGGGGGAGTCTTCGCTCTTCGACGTGGACAACTACGAGCACCACGCCCTGCGCTATCTCGTGGTCTCCTTCCTCTTCTTCGTGTGTAACATCGTGCTCATGAACATCTTCATCAGCGTTACGGGCGCCGGCTACGAGGAGGAGCGTGCCAACATCGAGGGCACCTTCAGCGCGGAGCGCTTCCGGGTGTGCATGGAGAACGTGGAGGTCACGGGCTGGTCCCGGTTCTTCGTGTTGGTGGCCATGGTTTCGGCCCTGCTCGTCCGGATGATGGTGAGCCTGGCGCTGGGGGAGGTGCTGGTCTTCGTGTCGGAGGCCTGCGCCCTGCTCATCTGGCTGGTGCTCTTCCTCCTCCAGTGGCACTTCTGCCACGAGGCCACGAAGCTCCGCGTGAAGCCCGAGGACCTGGAGCCCGAGGCAAGGAAGTACTTCTGGATCTGCGTGCCATCCCAGAGGCTGGAGGTGGACGAGGACGCCCCGGACGTGAACCTGCTCAACGAGACGCTTGGGCCCGCACCCAGCGCATTGAACCCGAGAGGTTTCGCGTCATCCTCCTCATATACATATACACATACATATGTTTCATAATATCAATCATGCATACGTATCTATTTATCTATCTATCTATCTATCTATATTCTATACACATACATATATATATATACATATATATCTGTTGTTTATCCTTTTATGGCATTATAGCATATGTACGTCTGTACGGTTCCAGGTTTTCGATACAGAGCCTAAACGGCCTAAACAACGTATTGCGAGGATCGCCAGCGAGTTGAGGGAGTTTCGCGAGATGCTCCTTGGAGTGTGGGGGGGGGGTCTTTGTAGCAAGAGTAGCAAGTCGCTGTGTTCAGTGCTTCTCGCAGGTTTTCGGCCTAGGGGCCCTGGTGATGGCATGTCAGGTTCGCGTAGGCTGGCTCCAGATTGCCCTTGTTCAGCCAATTGCACGGTCGTCTGGACCCAGGCATGTCACTCGTATGGCCCGCCCCTTTTATCACTCCAAACCTCCTGGATTGCAATCCCGTCACCGCGTCACACCACAAACCCATATCAACACAATACCAAAGCTAAGCCGACCACAAGAGGGGTAAGGGAAGGTGGCCGCGGACCACGTTAGGACTCAATAGGCTGCGAGCGGTCCCCCTCCTCCTCCCCCCTCCCGCCCGTAAGATTTTGCCCCGCGCTCCAGGTTCCAGCGTCGGCCAGCTGTGGGCCGCATGCGCCGCCTGCGGCGTGTGCCAGTCAACTCGCAGAGGCTTTTTGCTTGGGTGCGAAGAGAGTTGAGGGTCTGGGGGCCCAGTTTGGGCTTTTTTTGGTGGCGAGGTCCCGATGTTTCCGCAGAAAGGCCTGGGCTTTGAGGACACGACAATGCGGGCCTGGGGCCTCAACCATCAAACATCTTGGGGCCAGGCGGCAGAGGTGGAACCGAGTCCCTCGTCCCTACACCCCCCACAGAGGTGCCAGCAGGCCTTGTTCCTCAAGAGGGCTCATCTCCTGCAGGAGATGGCTCCAGGACTTGATGATGGCCGCCGAGCTCGACCTGGAGAAGTGCCCCTTGTGGTCGAGTTGGGGGGGTTTCCGAACCCTGGCGGTCGAGCCCAAAGGGTTTCCGATTGCCAAGCCCCGAAGGATGGTAAAATCTCAGAAGGAGCCCAGAAAACAGGCCCTTCTTCCAGGTCTGCGTCCTCTTTATATGCGATGCTTGTGATGTATTGGGGGGCTCGAGGATATTCCACGAATGCGAAGCATTGTTGCGAATGGCGCTTGACAGCGAAAAAAGACTCCACAAGCGGTGCCTGTCTCCTTTTGGCCTGTAAGCGGGGCCTGTCTCCTTTTGGCCTGTAACCTGTGTTCTAGATGAGGATGATGAGGAGCCGGGATATGCCGTTGTACGGTGTTTTGCCAGTGTGCTGGGCATGAAAAGCGGCACTCCTTCGATGAGTCCCCCGGTTGGCATGCGAGGTACCTGGATGCTGCGCTGCACTGGGCCGAGACGTTGCTCGGCAAGTCGGACGTTTTACAGGGAACAACGGCCTTTGCATCGTGAGTGCCTTTACATGGACAACTCTGCGGTCTTTTTGACTGCTGCTTTCAGTGTGCTGTGACTGTAGGATTGGCGCATACTGGGATTGTTTGGGAATCTGCATAGGTCAGGAGAAGCAACGGGTGTTGACTCCCTCTGCCCTACGCCTCAGGAAGGACATCGTCCAAAGTGATCTGCTGGGCGGGCCTGGCACCTGCACTTCGCACCAAGAGGCTTCAGCCGTTCTGGAGGACCTGATTGCGCACCGGGGCGTCAGAAGCAGAGGGTCCACAGTCGTAACATCGTAGTTTGACACACACTAAACCCTAAACCCTAAACCCTAAACCCTAAACCCTAAACCCTAAACCCTAAACCCTAAACCCTAAACCCTAAACCCCAAACCCTAAACCCTAAACCCCAGACCCTAAACCCTAAACCCGAAACCCCGCTTGGACCGCCGCTTGTCCCAAGGCACCTGGGGCTTGGTGAGGCTCCCTGCCGTCGCCTTCGGTGGCAACTGCAGCAGCATTGGCAGCCTCCGCAGCCTCCATCCCAGTAGTGTAGGGTTTAGGGGTTATAGGGGTTGGGGTTTAGGGTTTAGGGTTTAGGGTTTAGGGTTTAGGGTTTCGGGTTTAGGGTTTAGGGTTTAGGGGGTGTAGCGGAAAGTAGGTTCGGCTCTCGGAATGCTGGGGCTGGGGCCGGCGCTGTCCAAGACAGGCCGGCTCTTGCGAGCTGTTGGGGGCTTCTTTGGGAGCAAGCTGGGCCAAGAGCTCCATCGAAGGCTAAACCCTAAACCCTAAACCCTAAACCCTCAACCCTAAACCCTGAACCCTTTTTCGCAAGTTGCTCCTTGGGAAGCCTCTTCAGCTGGTAGTATCCAACAGTTAATGCCGTGACAGCTTGGGGTGCGCTGAGTGCATCCTCCGCCTTGGTCACAGAAGTCAGAGGGCTCGCCTCACGCGATGCCTTGCAGGGGCCCACTCTCAAGGATGGTCCGCTGTTGGGGGGCACACTAAGGAGAAAGTTTGGGGGTTTTAGGGTTTAGGGTTTAGGGTTTAGGGTAGGTGCCCCACAGCAGTCAGACCATTCATCTAGGGGAGCCCTTCTGACGCGAGCTTCGTCGGAATGTACAGGCCGGGCCTCTGGCCCAACTGGGAGTGTTGACATTTGCTCTCAGGGTGCAAAGTCCTCAAAGTCCTGGAGTCCATGCTTTGGGAGATTAGGGTTTAGGGTTTAGGCTCTAGAGTTCATGGATTCTTCGAACCAGCGAACTTCATCTGCAAGTTCTTTGCGGAACATGTTGGTGCCACACGCACACGCACTTGCTGAAACCACGAGGGTTAATCATTGGTCACACGCACACGCACACGCGCACGCCCACGCACACGCATGCGCACGCCCACGCGCACCCACGCGCGCACGCGCGCCCACGCGCGCCCACGCACGCCCACGCACGCCCACGCACGCCCACGCACGCCCACGCACGCCCACGCACGCCCACGCACGCCCACGCACGCGCACGCACGCACGCACGCACCACAGCTTGTCGTGCCCCTCAGATGGTCTGTTTCTTGCAAGAACCTGGAATATGGATCTAGGTGAGGATGCTGACTATACCTGGGGCCATTTCGAGGCTCGAGCAGGATTCGACCGTCCATTTTCAACGTACACAAACCGCTGCCTCGGGATCTGCACCGTGGTTGCAATCAAGTACTCTTGAATGTGGAGCCAGACCCAGAAATCCTGTCGAGGATGACCTCGAAGCTGACATTGCTTTCATTTTGCCTTGGGCTGTTGCCTCTTGGCGTCGCAGAGTCTTGTGGCACAGGAGCCATGAGTGCAGTGTGCATGATTGAACGTGTTGAATGCCATGTACGTCCCTGTGTTTGTCGAGCGAATGTGCAGTCGAAAGCTATGCAGGAGATGCGACTTGTGCTGCTCGTGCTGCGGCATTGCTCCAGCACAAGTCCCGCGAGCAGCCCAGCAATTTTGACTCCGTGGTCGATGGTCAGTTGAGACGTGCGCGAACGCATGGGAATGGTCCCTGAACCTCCCTGCAAGCGAGGTCAATCACCAGTGCCTGTCGATGCAGGATGTGTTATCCTGGAAGCCGGTAAAAACGCATTCCCACTGCGTCATCATCTTGGTCACATGGGTCATCATGCTTTGTCCATGTGGCCGCAGGAGGGGAAAGCCTCTATGGCAGTGTCCTCAGCATCATCGGGCTGGCATCCCGGGGATCAAGTGCAGTAGAGCTTCCAGGAGCAAACGCTCCTTCGTTTGGAGTGTGGAGTTTTTAGGCAGTTGGTGGAAGAAATGTTGGGTGCACCGGGATGCAGGTACACTTGTTGCCATGGACTTGACCCGACGCCACAGTCGTCGTTCAGATAGTTCTTATGTTGCTTCAAGTTCCAAGGCCGTGTTAAACCTGAGTCTGAGGCCCGATGATGATCGAAGGTAGGTTCCATTGGGTCCATGATCCGCAGTTCTATGCGAACAAGTCCTCGGAGGAGGTTGCACGCCTGCAGGCGGGAATGCGGTCAGCGCCCTGCATTGTTCCTTTTAGAAGGCTTCCGTTCTTCCGACGAAGCAGTAACAGCCTCTGGTCACGTGCCTGGCTCGGGGCTGCGATGTCGCCACAACATTCACATCCTCCACTGTCGAGCTGAACGGTCGTCGCACATTCATTCGCTTGATCCCTACCGGCCGTAACGGCCCACAACATCCGCCCTGAAGCGCACTACAATACAGAATGCATACAGTTCAAACAACCTTGACAGCTTCAAAGCTGCTCAAAGCTGCTTCCCTGACCAAAGCCACCCTTTGCAGGCGGAGGGCATGCAGAGTATCCGCGAGGCCCTCGCAGAAGCAGTGGGCTTCGGCTTGGTGGCCAGCGACATCGAGCTCCGCTTTGAGTCGCCGAGTGGGTTGCTACTGACACAGGCAGATCATAGCAGGTCGTAGCAGTGCTCGCTTGTTTGAGGGCTTTTCTGACAAGTAGAGAAAAGTAGAGACAAGTAGTGTGTAGTGCTGTAGTAACTGTAGTAGTGCTGTGCCGTGATGCGCTGATACGCATAGATGCAGGTGCAGGGGACAGCCGATGCAATCTGCGTCTTCACGTTTCAATGCCCGCCTGGAGCCAGCCCAGAAGAGGTGACGGGCTCCATGAGCAAGATTACAGCCCAGAGCTTCCTGAACATTTTAATTCCCAAAGTCGGACAGTTGGGATCGCAGCCCTTTGCTTTCACGGCCACCTTCTTCATGGGAGCCACGCCCGTGAACTCAACCTTGGCTCCGACCTCCACCAATGCCCCGACCAGCTCCATGCCCATCTCCAGCCCCATGCCCATCTCCAGCTCCTACGTTCCTGCGACCACCACGGAGCCACCCCTGGACTTCCATCCTTGCAAGTCCCTGGATGACTACCAGCCGGATGCGAAGATGAGTGCGTCCTGGCATTTGAAGAAAAAAGGCCCAATGTCACTCCCCCCGAAATTCTCGCGGATTCTAGCGCTCTCAGGAATACGGCTGGTGTGAAGGCAGCCAGCCCAACATGACGGAGCAGCAGTGCCTGGATGGCGGCTGTGGCCCGGCGCAGGGACAGGGGGCAGGGGGATGCAGGCGGCAGTTGGGAGCCGCCCCGATTCGTCTTGCCTGGCTGTGTTTGAGATAATCTTCGGCCGCCGTTCTCAAACTAAGGCAAAGCCTATGGCTACCCCGACCATCCCTACTGTTCCTGCAGCACGGAGGAGGCGTGTGCGACTCTGGGCTTCGAATGGAAGTACCACACCTGCAAGGATGAGATGCGCATGCCGCTTGGGCGCAAGCCGAGGGGGCTGACACAGCGCGTGTTGCAGTTTGGGGGCCGGGGAGCTGTGCGCCGTGCTCGGCTCTTGGTGCATCATGCAGAGTACGGTGTTGGGACCGCAGGTATCAGTCGAGCAGCGACTACCTCGGCTTCTTCAAGCAGGCCATGGACAATGGCACCTGTGACGGTATCGTCACTACCTGGCACGTGCGCCTCAGCTGAGTGCTGAAAGTGCACGCAGAGTGAGATACTTGCAGGTTCACGGTACTCATAACCCCAATTTTAACTGCACTTATACGCCCCCTAAGTCCCCTAAGTAGGTTAAGAAGTAGATTTATACTCGTGGTAGTAAGTACTCATGAGCCTCCAAGTCAAGGCTGATAGAGGGGCTGTGGGGGATTGCAGTGCGCCTCTTTGAGGAGCCTTGCTGAGTCCATGGAGTGGCCCGCCAGAAAGTGTTGCGCATCCTGGCCGCAGACGCCGCTTGGGGGCACGAAATCTGGGCGAAATTCCCCTGCATCACAGGGTTTAGGGTTTAGGGTTTAGGGTCAGCCCGCAGTGGCACAAGGTTCAGGGCCTTTGAAGTGGGGGTACTGTTGGACTGCCAGGTTTTGCGAGCCCGACGCCAAAGTGCCTTCGCCCTGCAAGGCCACGCGATGGGCTTGTCGAGTCTGATCGAATCGTCTTAAAACAAAGAGGACATGCCTAGTAGTACATCAAGGTTCCTCTGACAGATATATATATATATATATATGCATATGTAAAGGGCTGTTGAAGAGGAGAGAGTGGCGAGGCTGGGCTGAAAGTTTGCTGGCAGGATGCAAGCGACTTCCTGCCCGACAAAGTGACAGGTCAAGGCCCTTCCCTCGGACATCCCAGAAAAGTTCGCATCCGCGAAAACCCCGGAAGTGCAGAATGCACGCCAAGGCATCTCGTGCATGGACTACGTGAAGCAGTGGTGGTCGGAGTACTGGCTCCTGAAGAATGCGTCAGCCGCAGGCGCCCCTTTACCTTTCCAAAGCTGAGGAACAGAAACAAAAACACCCCAACTCCCGCATCCGAAGCCCGACGCCCTACGCCCTCCCCCCTTTACGCCCCAAATCCACAACCCCCCCAAAAAATCCGGCGGAAGGAAGCTGTGATGGTATGGATCTGCCATGGGCCGAGTCGCTGAAGGACTTCGTGAAAGTACGAATCCTGCGGTGTTCAAGGAGTTAGGTTAATGGTTGCGTATTTAACCAACCCTGAGTTCTAAACCCCAGAGGAGCCATGATAGCTATCTGCTGATTCGTAGGCTTCGTGGTGGAAGCTTGAACGCAACCTCGCTGCTTTCATGAGGACTGGGTAGTGCACCCTGCGAAAGAGTGCTGCGCCTCCTTCCCTGCAACGATCTGCCCCTCGGCTCGAGACACCGGCCTGGATGTTGCATGGTGGTGTGATGTTTGTGTTGGTGCTGCTTCGATTCGGGCTCCAGATTCCTTTGTTGCAGGGGCTCCCGCACGCGTTACAAGGGGGTGCTAAATGGAACGCCCCCCCCCCCCCCCAGCCATCCCCCTCCCCTCAACAAAAACTGAATTACAGTTTTGGGATTGGGATGCTTGCAGGCTTGTTTCATGCTTTGGGCTTTCGGAGTGCCAGCATGGTGCATTGCAAGCTCTGTCAATGCTACCTCCTTGCCTCTGAGCTCTACTGGGAAGGCGGGGGGGCCTGATTCAACTCCAGCTCCCCTTGACTCCCTTTGGGCTTGCAACTGTTGGCCTTGAAGTGCATCCTTCTGTTTGAAATGAAACTTTTTTTTTTGCTTAGGTGACAAAGATGCCTCCTTCATGACGCCCTGCCGGAGCCCCGAGGAGTTCGCCCCGGAGAAGGCCTAGCCGGGTGTGCGTGTGGGCGGGTGTGAGAGCCCGGTGTGAGCCTTCCGTGCCCTGTGAGGTCCTCTATGAGCACTGCGACACGCACCACTCTGCTGCTTCGGCAGCAATGTGCGGCATCAAAGGATGCTCCCGGAAGCCCCAACCTGCCCGAAGCCCTCGAACCCCGAAATTCAGCCCTGAATTAAAGCCGATGTTACGGTGCAGGGGACTGTGGACAACGTGTCCTGCCAAACCTCCGGGTGCTCCTGGCACGAGGCAGGAAGGGTCACTTCTTGTGGCTACCACTTGGCTGTGCTGCATCTTATGTCAGACGGTACTAGAATATAAGGCCATATTAATGCCGGAATGTATCATGTTGAATCATACTGTAGGATACTTTATCATACTAAACATACTATATCATACTATATGGTACGATTTAATCACATTGTATCATATGATATCATATTAGAGAATGCTATATCATGTTGTAGTGAGTATATGTGAGTATACTGTTATACTATCATATGATATGATACTATATTGTGTTTTCCTATACTTTGTGTTTTCGCCATAGTAAGCTATAGTATGTTGTAGTATGCTACACGGTATGATTGTTGGATGGATCATGTCGGGTCACCGACGGTCCCTTCTGCTTAAATATGTGCCATCCCGACGTTGAGGGATGTGGTTGTAACAGTGAGTCATGAGTACAGGCCATTTGCCTGCTGTCCCTAAACCCTAACTCTGGGTTTAGACCCTAAACCCTAAACCCTAAACCCTAAACCCTAAACCCGAAACCCTAAACCCGAAACTCTAAAGCACATGTGAGTTCATGCTTGCGTGTGCTCACCAGAGAAGCGACTACTTTGTGTGCCACCCATCCCGCCCTTGATTTGTTGGGGTTTTCCTGGGGCGCATGTTGCATGGTAGTTTGTATGTTATGAAGTCTTTGGCTCATGTGTTTGAGGCGGTTTAGAAGCATAGAGCTTGTACGTTCTTTGTGCAAGGTATTTGACAACCGAGCATTGACTGCATGACAGCTGATCACTATTGAAACCATATATATATATATATATAAAGTTTCTAAATAAGACATCATCTCATACAACGCGCCCTTTGTGGTAGAGCGCCAAGCTTTGCATCGTGTGTCCGGGAGGCGCACCATTGGTGCGAATGCCGGGATGAGGCCGGCGGGGAGACGCGACAAAAGCGCGTTGCGTCGCTTGCAAGAGGGCAGTCGTGTGGGCAGCGAAGTAGGGGGGTACTTCCACCGCAAGGACCTAAGATACTCCTCAACCCTAAACCCCAAACCCCAAACCCCAAACCCTAAACCCTGAACCCTAAACCCTAAACCCTAAACCCGTGTGGAAAGGGTACCCCAGGGCACCCCCTGTTTCCGGAACCCCCCCCCCCTTTCTTGGTTGTGAGAGGCCACGTGCGGGGCTGCAGGCGGCCGATGGCATACCCAGACCTGCAAGAAAGAGACGGAGCAACTGGGTCATTGTTGAAAATATCATTTTTTACATGTTTTCTGAGTACTGAAAGTTTAAGTCTTAAACCCAATAAGAAACAAGAAAGATCTTTCTGCATGTATTCTGAATACTTAAACCCAGTAAGAAGCAAAAAATGATCATTTGTATCCCAACAGTGGTGCAGGCAATGGGACCTCAGGCGCCTCCTTTTGTTGGGCTTGAGGGTTTCAGGGTAAGGGTGTTTTGGGACTTGGTCATGTCACGTGTTTTCTTTTTGTGCTTTTTTTCAAAAACTGTTATACTCTATTGACCTCAGCATGCCATATTCTGCTAAACCCTAAACCCCAGACCTTAAACCCTGAATGATTGGGGTTCCAAGTGCCGGTAGCCCGGGCGGATCCTGGCAGGATGCATGCTGCTCTTCAGGATATGCGCTGTTCGCCGGTCAGAGTCTGTTGCTTGCAGCTTTCCACCGTCGTTCATATTACCCTGAACCCTGAACCCTAAACCTTAAACCCTAAACCCTAAACCCTAAACCCTAAGCCCTAAACCCTAAACCCTAAACCCTAAACCCTAAACCCTAAACCCTAAACCCTGAACCCATCACAACTCCTCAGGAGGCCATCGAGGATGGAGGCTGCGCGGACCTCGACTACGATGGCGATGTCGAGGCCCACATCTCATGGCCGGCCAAGAAATGCTGCAGCTCCTTTCCGGCCACGGCCTCTCGGCTCGGTTTAGGGTTTAGGGTTTAGGGTTTAGGGTTTAGGGTTTAGGGTTTAGGGATTGGGGTTTCGGGTTATCCTTAAACCCTATACCCCTAATCCCGAAGAGGGAGACTGTCGGCTTGCCTTAAATGTCGTCGGCTTGAGGTCTGTCAGCCCACGGCAAAGCGGATGACGCCGTGCAAGGACGAGGGAGACTTCATGGCTGGGAATGTGCTGAGCCAGTGGTGCGACTGGGGCGCACAGGCGGAAGGGAACATGAATGAAGTCATGTTTTTCATGGTATTTATTGAGACACTGAGATAAGTCCTACGATTATGGTTAAATTTCTGTTGACCATCATCATCATCATTCTTCTTCTTCTTCTTCTTACAGTAGGCCTTTTGTATTGCAAATGCCGCTCAAGCATGTCCGTATTAGCAATCGCTCTTCCTGGTCCCCTTAAAGTTACTGAGGGGCAAAGCCAAACAGTGGCCCGATTGCAGAAGGAGCTGCGCATGCAGATCCTGTAGAAATACACGACGCCAAACTGAGGGGGCAAACTTGCGACCCGGGGTTCACGGGCTCAACCCGGTTCAAGGGTTCAAGGGTTAGGTTTGTTGCGCAAGAGTCTCTGAAAGCTGAAGCCCCCTGAGCCCTCCCGGAAAATGGCAGGACGTCTCCGTTTCCCCCTTTCAAAAAACAACAGGGTGACCCTCTGCAAAAGGCTGTCAATCCATGAAAAGCACTGGCGGGCATATCCCGGGGAAGATGGGCTCCCCTCCTCTCTGTTGTGTTGCGTTTTCCGTAGCGTGCCTTTTCTCAGCCCTCCTCGCTTTTGAGCTTCTTTTGAGAAAACATACAAGAAGCCTAGAGAGAAGCTGCGCACGCTGCGCAGGTTCCCAATGCCAGCACCTGCCGGAGCCACAAGGGCTGCCATGGGGATGCCAACTACTGCCACTGCGAGGAGGAGAGCTCCTGCCTGGCCTTGGGCGGGCGGTTTATGTCCCGCACCTGCGGGGAGGACCTCTCGGAGCAGGAGGCCGCGTATCACGAGGCCCTGGAGGCCGGGTCCGGCCGCTGCTCCGATGTCAGCTACCACGGGACCACCGTGGAGGACCTCATCTCCTGGAGCAGCCGGAAGTGCTGCGCCTCCTACCCGGCCAACGTCTGCCACAAGGACCTGCAGGCGATGACGCCCTGCAAGGATGCGGCGGACTTCTTGCCCTCCAACATCCTCAACGAGTGGTGCCTCCTACCAACATCCTCCTTCATGGGGGGGTTCTTATAAAAAACCGGGGGGGGGGGGGGGGGGTTAGGGGGTAGGGGTACTCCAACCCCTATCTTAATCGGACTGTGAGTAGGGTAGGGGGAAGGGGTACTCTAACCCCCTATCTTTATAGGACTGTGAGTAGAAGAAGGGAGGGGAGAACATCCCCAGGTGCGAGCTGCACGGCCACATCCCCGCCACCTGCGCCACGACACCGGGCTGCCATGCCTCGGAGCACCACTGCCACTGCGGCACGGCCGAGCCTTTGTACTAGTTGGGTAACATTTTTACATACTTTAAGGGCACTTAAAGTATAAGAAGGCATATATGTATATATATACATACATACATACATATATATATATACATACATACATACATACATATATATATATATATATATGAAATTTTAGTACTATCCCAACCATGAATCAGGAGTCCTGTGCTGCGGTTGGGGGGTCCTGGACCCAGCGCACCTGCGAAGTGGAGGTCGGGGAGTTCTGGGATTCCCAGACGCACCTGCATGTGCAGATGGCCGCTTCGGATGGCTGCGAGGATGTGGACTTGAGAGGCCAGTCGATGAAAGACATGCTGCGCTATCCGGCCTCCAAGTGCTGCGCCTCCTACCCGGCCTCTGTTTGCGATCCGACGGCAAAGAAGATGACGCCCTGTAAGGACGAGGCCGACTTTATGCCGGCCCAGCCCCTGCACGAGTGGTGCGACTTCCATGGCTCCTACCCGGACGAGGACACGTGCCGGGCTCACGGCTGCAACGCCTACAGTGATGGATGCAGTTGCGACACATCGGAGAAGTGCTTGGCCGTAGGTGCCGAATGGAAGGTGAGCACTTGCGAGACCGACATTGGCCACTGGAGTCCCGAGCAGCACAGGGCCCTACAGGAGGCGCGCCAGAATGGCACCTGCGGGGTGCACACAATGTTTGGCGACCTGACCGGCATGATTAACTACCCCGCTGAGAAGTGCTGTGCCTCCTTTCCAGCCACGCTCTGCGACCCGACCGCCCGGCTCATGACCCCTTGCAAGGACGACGCCGACTATACTCCAGACAAGGAGATGTGGGCCCACTGTGACTTTTGGCGGGACGGCGCCGTCATGCCCAGCGAATCTTGGCTGCCTTCCTCCAGCCATAACGGCGATACTCAACGATACCCCCAACGGTACTCAACCATAATCAACCATAATGTAACATGTACCATCACACTGATGTCCATGATGCTTCCGTGATGATGCTGATAATGCGGAAGGTTGCTGAGGCTGTGGTGGGTGGTTCAGACGATACATCCGCACAAGTCAGTCGTCCGGCTTTGCCATTGAAGTCGAATCTCGCATCGCGCCAAGGAGGCCGTGTGCAACGACCAAGAAGGCTGCTACGGCGGTCAGGGCTGGTGCCACTGCGAGGGCAAGACGAGCTGCGAGGCCGTGGGCGGCTTCTGGAACGCGCACACCTGCGCCATGGAGGTGTCGCAGTGGAGGCGGACACATGCGGCGTGACATTTCTGGCGCCCGGGGGGGGGGCTGGGGGCTGTGGGCAAGAGAGAATCTGCAGAGCTTGCCCAAGCCAGGCCCGAGCAGCACAAGGTGCTGCAGAAGGCGGACGAGCAAGGTACATGCCTCGACCTAGAGGTCAACGGAATGCGGGCACAGGACCTCGTGGTCGTAGTTGCTCGTTTGCTCATACCACAGCAGCACAGCTCTGAGCTTTCTGAGATTTTCTGAGCTCTGCAGGATATGGTAAATTGGCCCGCGCAGATGTGCTGCATGTCCTTCCCGGCGAGCGTCTGCGACAAAGAGCTTAAGGCCACGACGCCTTGCCTGCACGATCAGGACACCCCCCGCTGTGTGACTTGTGGCAGTGCGTGCGCAGGAGCGCAGAGAGAGACAGAGAGAGAGAGAGAGAGAGAGAGAGTACACCGCAGCACAAACCAGAAGCCCGGTTTCAACGCGATGATGTCTGCAAGCCGGAAACACCCCTAGCCAACTCCTCCACCCAACCTCCCGCCCCCCAACCTGGCACGTACTTGAGGAGTGTAAATTCTTGCTTTGCAAATGGGTCGTCCGTCCTTTCCTCCAGACCTACAATGATTGAAATGGACCCTCCGCAGGGAGTCGGCTTGTAATTCGCCCGTTGCTGGCCACTACATCCAAGAACCAGTCCAACAAAAGTCGGGTAGCGGAGGGGAAGCCCGAAATGATGAGTGCCTACGCAGTTCATGCTCACTGTTGTTCAAAGCATTGGCATCAACCTCAGTATCGGGACCATGCGCGAGAGTGCACGTGTTGCCGCCGAGGCATTTCAGCATGATTGCATGCACTTACAGGGCTGTTCGGGAGGCAAGTGCGCAAGTGAAAAAGACGATGCATCACGCATCTCCAACCTGCTCAAGCTTGGGGGATGTGGCTTGGGGTTGAGGAGTTCCAGAACAACAAGACGCAGTGGGCCTGGTGTGATGGGCTCTACCCAACGCCCCCGGAGGCAGACTGTCACGCGCAGGCAGGGCGATAATTCTGGTAGCCGGGGATGGGAATGGCCAATTTGCACGTGCAGGGCTGCACCGGCAACGAGCACTACTGTCACTGCGAGACTGAAACTGCCTGCGTCGCCCTAGGCTGGGTGGCAGTTCGGGGAGACAGAAAGGGCAGATCCACTTCGAGACTGTGCACCCTGCAGCACTTGCACTGAGGTGGTAACTGGAAGGAGCACCAGTGCTGGCAGGATTTGCAGTGGATGGCCGCCGAGGTGCACAAGGCACACCTGCGACTCTTGCGATGCTGTCAGCCCACGTCGTATTTGAGCATCGCTTGTCAGGGCATCGCCAAGGCTATCCATCAGGGCACCTGCCGCTCGACGCAAACGGCACAACAACTTGTGTTTCAGAGCCGCGAGACTTCTTCGCGCAAACTTCATTTTCAGGTGAGGACGTGGAGGCGTACCATAGCAAGCTGGAGTATGCCGTCGACTGGCTAGGCCGCGACCATTGCACTGAGTCCTCCTAAACCATCCTAAACCCTGATTAAACCCTAAACCCTAAACCCTAAAAACCTTATGAAGCCTCTGCCACTGAGAATGTTCAGGGGCGTAGATCGCCAGGCTCCAACTGCTGTCTCAGCGGCATGTCCGTTTGCCAGGCCGAGCCGACGCTTTGCGAGGGTTTAGGGTTTAGGGTTTAGGGTTTAGGGTTTAGGGTTTAGGGTTTAGGGTTTAGGGTTTAGGGTAGCATGCAACGTAAGCCACGCTTGCTTTGTTATTTGGCGTGGGTCGGCGATTTTTTGAGTCTACGTTGTCGTGCAGGCACTTGCCGCGGGTGTGAGCCCTTACGAGAGTCCATATGAGATGACTCGCTGACATGGCGGACGCCAGATGCCTGACGAACATTGGCTTCGATGATCCGCTCAGAAGACTCCTAGCAGCCCCTAAACTGGCCCCCAAAAATATAAACCCTAAACTCTGAACCCTGAAGCCCTAAACCCTAAAGCCTAGACCCTAGACAGATTTTGTAGTGGATCCTCGTCAAGTCCAGGACCACCTGTTGCGACATGATGGCATGAGGCCCAGCCTGGCGACAAAGGGGCGGCCGGTCTCATCGTGCTGTTGAAGCCATTTGGGTAGCCGTGGGAGACGCGGGGGAGACATGGCTGTCCCGCAGCCGTGAGCCTCATCCTTCCCCCCCAAAACTTTCACTTGCCGAAACCGCTGCCTCGAGACCAGGCGCAGAGTCTCGCCCTATTGTTGCCACATTGTTGCCATGCCTGTCGCCGAGTCGCGACTGGCATTGCCGCATGTTGCAGGATGGCTTCGAGGTCGACTTTGACTTGCCTGCTTCTGCGCGCCTTCCTTCTCTCCAGGGCGCAGCGCTGCGATGAAGGACAGCCGCCAGCTCGAGGAGGAGCGAGAAGATGAAGAGACATGAAGAGCGGACGGGAGGAGACGCCGCCTGCGCTGCCCGTTCGTCGGCTTTGCTCCAGCACAGCGCCCGCAGAGACCCCAGATCGAGTGCGAAGCTGCAGTTGGGAATAGTTGGAGGCATGTCCAAAGAAGAACCTGGACCTGTCTTGGCAGGTCAGATGCCTTCAGGCGTGTCGGCGTGTCCATTGCACCGCATCACATACGCATACATGCGCGAACCGATAGATGACACATGGTGGATAGCACTTGCACTCGGTCACCGTATGATGCATTCTCCAGCACGCTGTGCAGGAGAGAGTACCTATGGTGGAGGCTCGCCGTTGTCGCCTTGCAGGGATGCTGCACTCGCGTTCAAGCTCTTTCCGCCCTGCAGGAGAGAGTCTCTACGGAGGCTCTTCGCTCCCGCCTATCTGCAAGGATTCCGCGGACTTCATGCCAGAGAAGGAGATGTGGGCCTATTGCGACATGTATTCGGCCGGCGTCGTGGTACCACCGGATGCTAGGCTGCCTTGAGATGCCTTGCCTTGAGTCTGAGGCGCCTAGTAACTTAGTAGCCTGGTACCGGGCCATGCCTGGTGTCTTGAGGCTGACGTCTGCAATGCGCAGACTGGATGCTATGGTGACCAGGGCTGGTGCCACTGCGAGAAGAAGGAAGGCTGCGTGGCCGTGGGTGGCACATGGATCGCGCAGACTTGCGCAATGGAGATGGACACCTTCAGGCGGTTTTCATGTTTTCAGGGCTCGTGTAGGACCCGAGTCTTTGTCGCGCACATGGACCATATCTTAAGTGACCGCTTGTGAAATCTTGTGAAGCCCCTCGGCAGTCCGGAGCAAATCGATGCGCTGCGCTTGGCGGACGTGAACGGGACTTGCGTTGACATCTATGCCCAGGGCATGGCAGTCGCGGACACTGGGGCTATGTCATTGATGCGGTGTCGGCATGTTGTCTTCCGAGTGTGCGTAGAGCAGACAGAGCAGTAAAGCGCTTCCCCAAGCATGCTCTTATCTCTCCTGTGCCCTTGAGCTGGAGGATTTCGCAGGCTGGACGGCGCAGTCCTGCTGCCAGTCCTTCCCAGCCTCCGTCTGCAACAAGACGCTCCTGCCCCAAACGCCGTGCTTGCACGATGAGGACCTCCCCAAGCTGTCTGTACGCATAGGGCATAGTAGGACTCACCAAAGTCTCACTACGAGTCCCACTGCAAGGTTTTGACTGGGCATCATTGGGATCAATGTCATGTTGTGGCATATCGTGATCCGCGCAACGCGACAGGACTTCGAGCACAACAAGACCCAATGGGCCTGGTGCAATCTCTACCCCACGCCAACCGAGCATGACTGCAAAGCGCAGGCACGGCCTGCGAATGTGGGGAGTGCCAAGGGAGGAGCGAGTCCGTATTGCGGCGGATTCACTTTCACTGCGTATGCTCGTGCATGGTGCAGGGCTGTGAAGGCAGCGAGTGGCACTGCCACTGCGAAGAAGAAGAGAGCTGCGTCGCCCTAGGCTGAATCTGACCGTCAAATCCTGTCGAACGCCTGCTGCATGTTTGCTACGGTGCTGTTGTTGCCCAGCGCGAGGCGGCCAGTGGTCGGAGTACCAGTGCTGGCAGGACTTGAAGTGGATGGCAGCCACGGTGCACGAGGCCCGACATGCTGAGGGCATGTGGGCATGTCTTGTGCAAAAGCAGGGATGAGCTGAGCTGCTTGATCCGCTGCGCGTGCAGGGCATCGCGAAGGCCAAGCACCAGCACAGCTGCCGCTCGGCTGCAGGCTGTTTCAGCAGCTGCTGCAGGAGGCGCTTCGTGCCTCAGCAATGTCTCAGCTATAGGGTCACTAGCACCAGTTCTAAGGCGATGATATCGAAGTCTATCACAGCAAGCTGGAATACCAGGTGGAGTGGTTGGGTGGGGACCCTGGCTGTGCATGTGCACTGAGTGAGTAGTGTGAGCGATGTCGTGCGCCCAGGCAAATCATGCTGTTCCTCTGGCATGTCCGTTTGCGAGGCCTGGGCGTCAAGGCATGTCTGAGATGTGGGCACTGGTGTGCGTCTTGGCAGGAGCTGTGAGCGACTAGGGCTAGCTCGACATGTAGATGGTCGGGTGAGGAAAATGCTGCTCGAATGACGGTGGTGCATGCGTGTAGGCCATGGCCTCCGATACACCAAAACTCCAGAGCGTGGGGGCGTCACAGGGGTTTGAAGGGGGATCCTCCAATCCTCTATCATCCTGGTCTTCTTGTTCCAGATGCCTCTCGGCCAAGGGGACGAGGCGAAAATCGTATCAATGATTCTGCTTTAACAGCCAGGACGGTCGACCCCCTCAGAGTTATCTCAGAGTTGCAAAGTGATTGAAATACTGAAATACATTGGGGGTACATTTAAGGGTTTCAGGGACCTTGGATTGTGGTCCACACATCTTCTTTCAGCCACTTGGGTGAAGGCATGAGTGACGCGGGGGAGACATGGCTGTCCCGCAGCCGTGAGCCCCATCCTTCCCCCCCGAAACTTTCACTTGCCGAAACCGCTGCCTCGAGACCAGGCGCGGAGTCTCACCCTATTGTTGCCACACTGTTGCCATACCGCCGAGTCGCGACTGGCATTGCAGCTTCGCATTTTGCAGGATGGCTTCGAGGTCGACTTTGACTTGCCTGCTTCTGCGCGCCTTCCTTCTCTCCAGGGCGCAGCGTTGCGATGAAGGACAGCCGTTAGCTCGAGGAGGAGCGAGAAGATGAAGAGACATGAAGAGCGGACGGGAGGAGACGCCGCCTGCGCTGCCCGTTCGTCGGCTTTGCTCCAGCACAGCGCCCGCAGAGACCCCAGATCCAGTGCGAAGCTGCAGTTGGGAATTGTTGGAGGCATGTCCAAAGAAGAACCTGGACCTGTCTTGGCAGGTCAGATGCCTTCAGGCGTGTCGGCGTGTCCATTGCACCGCATCACATACGCATACATGCGCGAACCGATAGATGACACATGGTGGATAGCACTGGCGCTCGGTCACCGCATGATGCATTCTCCAGCACGCTGTGCAGGAGAGAGTACCTATGGTGGAGGCTCGCCGTTGTCGCCTTGCAGGGATGCTGCACTCGCGTTCAAGCTCTTTCCGCCCTGCAGGTGAGAGTCTCTACGGAGGCTCTTCGCTCCCGCCTATCTGCAAGGATTCCGCGGACTTCATGCCAGAGAAGGAGATGTGGGCCTATTGCGACATGTATTCGGCCGGCGTCGTGGTACCACCGGATGCTCGGCTGCCTTGAGATGCCTTGCCTTGAGTCTGAGGCGCCTAGTAACTTAGTAACCTGGTACGGGGCCATGCCTGGTGTCTTGAGGCTGACGTCTGCAATGCGCAGACTTCATGCTATGGTGACCAGGGCTGGTGCCACTGCGAGAAGAAGGAAGGCTGCGTGGCCGTGGGTGGCACATGGATCGCGCAGACTTGCGCGATGGAGATGGACACCTTCAGGCGGTTTTCATGTTTTCAGGGCTGACATGGAGCATATCTTAAGTGACCGCTTGTGAAATCTTGTGAAGCCCCTCGGCAGTCCGGAGCAAATCGATGCGCTGAAGTTGGCGGACGTGAACGGGACTTGCGTTGACATCTATGCCCAGGGCATGGCAGTCGCGGACACTGGGGTTATGTCACTGATGCGGTTTCGGCATGTTGTCTTCCGAGTGTGCGTAGAGCAGATAGAGCAGGAAAGCGCTTCCCCAAGCATGCTCTTATCTCTCCTGTGCCCTTGAGCTGGAGGATTTCGCAGGCTGGACGGCGCAGTCCTGCTGCCAGTCCTTCCCAGCCACCGTCTGCAACAAGACGCTCCTGCCCCAAACGCCGTGCTTGCACGATGAGGACCTCCCCAAGCTGTCTGTACGCATAGGGCATAGTAGGACTCACCAAAGTCTCACTACGAGTCTCACTGCAAGGTTTTGACCGGGCATCCTTAGGATCAATGTCATGTTGTGGCATATCGTGATCCGCGCAACTCGACAGGACTTCGAGCACAACAAGACCCAGTGGGCCTGGTGCAATCTCTACCCCACACCAACCGAGCATGACTGCAAAGCGCAGGCACGGCCTGTGAATGCGGGGAGTGCCAAGGGAGGAGCGAGTCCGTGTTTCGGCGCGCTCAGTATAACTGCTCCCGCGCGGTGCAGGGCTGTGAAGGCAGCGAGTGGCACTGCCACTGCGAAGAAGAAGAGAGCTGCGTCGCCCTAGGCTGAATCTGACCGTCAAATCCTGTCGAACGCCTGCTGCATGTTTGCTACTGCTACGGTGCTGTTGTTGCCCAGCGCGAGGCGGCCAGTGGTCGGAGTACCAGTGCTGGCAGGACTTGAAGTGGATGGCAGCCACGGTGCACGAGGCCCGACATGCACAGGGCATGTGGGCATGTCTTGTGCAAAAGCAGGCATGAGCTGAGCTGCTTGATTCGCTGCGCGTGCAGGGCATCGCGAAGGCCAAGCACCAGCACAGTTGCCGCTCGGCTGCAGGCTGTTTCAGCAGCTGCTGCAGGAGGCGCTTCGTGCCGCAGCAATGTCTCAGCTATAGGGTCGCTGGTACCCGTCCTAAGGCGATGATATCGAAGTCTATCACAGCAAGCTGGAATACCAGGTGGAGTGGTTGGGTGGGGACCCTGGCTGTGCATGTGCACTGAGTGAGTAGTGCGAGCGATGTCGCGCGCCCAGGCAAATCATGCTGTTCCTCCGGCCAGTCCGTTTGCGAGGCCTGGGCGTCAAGGCATGTCTGAGATGTGGGCACTGGTGTGCGTCTTGACAGGAGCTGTAGCCCGATGATCGGGTGAAAATGCTGCTCCAATGAAGGAGTTGTCCTTTTGGGCACAGGAGGTAGTGCGGGTGGCGGAGGGAAGGACTCATTCGAGAAAGGCTTTCGCTCTGATGCGTGTGACGAAGTCACGCGCTGAACAATATCTTACGACCTGATGGCAGCGGGTTTAATTCTGTCCAGGCGTACTTGGAGGTTCGTGGTACTTGTTAGCCAATTATAACTATAACTGTAACTATAACTGTACTTATTCCCCACTTCCAGGCCCCTTAAGTGCCCTAGTTCGGTTACAAGTACAGTTATAAGCGCAGCTTTAATTGGTTGGTTAGTACCATGAACCTCCAAGAAAAGGACTTGTCATGTCGCATCCTTACTTATTTGTAGGAACCCCCCCCAAAAAAGGGTCCTCTCTTCGGAAACCTCCCCGCCCTCTCAGTCATTCGCATGTTGACAGCGGGCTGCGTAAGAAGAGCCGCATGACCCTGAAACATCCTGAAGCCTGCATCCTCCGAAGCCACGAACCCTCCTCCTGTCACTTTAGGGCTGGTGTGTTCTTGAAACCTGGACTGCTCCTTGAATCAACACCTCAAGCCCCTCTCCCACACGGCTTCCAAATTAGCTTCCCTTCAACACCATTCCTCCCTTCTTAATTTGCGTGACCTTCGTCAGTGGGCACGCTGCGTAGGCCCCAAATCACAAGCCCTTTGCCCCGTCTTCACCTTCGCCCATATCACGTGACATACTTGACTGCAGGAGATCACGTGGCGGCAGCCGCAGAAGTTTGAGCTCTCTGCTTGGTGTCAAAAAGCAGCCTCCTCTTACCGATGCTGTGTGGTAGGCCCGGTAAGGTAGAGCGTGGCGCGTTGCAGACTGTGCACGTAGACTGGCAGGCCGCTGGCAAGCATCTCAGCTTGGGCCAAAATGGAGGCACCACAGCCTCGCAACACGCACGACTTTTTGGACGCTTCTGCCCAGCACTTCAAAAGGGGGCGCATGGGGCGCTGGCGGGAGGCGTGCGCGACGCCTGCGCCCATACATAGCACCGTTGGGCCCTTACACATTCCCAAAACAAGATACACTACGACCGCCACTCAAAAGGCTCCCGTCGTGCAAAAGGTGGTCATAGTCGGGCTCCCACCACCTCCAGCCCTCTGCATAGGCGTGGGTGAAAGACAACCGGCTGACCTGATCGCTCACTTTGGCCGAGCCAGCGACGCGTTGCCATTCCGGCCACCAGTTGTGCTCCTCGATGAAGGTCCAGATGATCTGCAGAAGCCTGTTCACGGAGTCGTCTTTACCATAGCCCTTCAGTAGCGCGTGCTTTGGTGGCTCATTGTCCACGAAAAAGGAGTGTATGCATCGGGAGTTCATTCCGTAGGGCTAGAAGGAGCATTGGTACTTCTGCGAGTAGTCAAGGGGTGTTGGAGCGGTCAGGTGGCTCGTCAAACGAACTGCTTGGCGTGGGCGGCAGCGCGCGGGAGCGAGCCGCCGAAACATGTTGCCCGTCGCCCGAATTGCAAGCCAACGCCATTCGTGCCCACAAACCTCGATGTTGTCGAGCAAGTGCCGACCCCGGAGACAACGCAAATCCAGCCCCCCCTCTGCGGCCGTCCACGGCCGCAGCGGCACGCTGGGCCTGGAGAGAACGCTTGAACTGCAAACTTTCCGGTTCCACGGGCTCCCGCTGCCAGCACTGGGACCGCCGATGCATCGCCCAAAGAAAAAAGAACCGAAGCGTCAGCCCCAGTCATACTGAAACGAGCTGGCTGTTGCACCGGATTCTTTTTGCCGAAAATACAAAGTCTGAAGCGGGCACCCCTGTCCTCACACCGCTGCGCTGTCGCAAGGGTTCGTCCGATGCTGAGCCTCCGCCAGTCCCGCCCAGCATCAACGACGTTGCGGGCCTGCAGATCGCGCGCCGCGGCCGTTCCCGACGTGCGCGCGTTACCGACGGCACCTCGGGGTGCTTAGCCCAAATCCGTGCGCAAGCCTCCCGCTCGGCCTGCTCCTTCTGTTGAAGAAACCGTGCAGGAGGCCGCGCAGGACTATGCGCTCCACACCTTCACCTCCAACGACGCGCCCGAACAGCACCGCCTCCGGGCGTCCTGTGTTGTGTTGCAACCATGTTGCTGCCACGTGAGGTGCAGCGTGGCGACCTGCCAGGGTGTACCCTGTCTTTGCTCGGGATGTCCAGCTGGATGACATCCATGTCCTTGCAAATGCAGGAGAGTCATGTGGAGAAAGCATGCGTCCTTTGTCCCTATGTTTTTAATTATAAAATTGTGTGCCCTTTCAGTGTTCTTGTAGCTTCTGGAAAGAACACGTTGAAGCTATGAATGAAATGAACGTATGAACGTAGCGTGTTATCTTCTCATGTTGTGAACGCAACAGTAATATTATAGACGCAAAGGAAGACATGAACTGCTTGAATATTTTCACCTTTATCTATCACCAGCAATTATGGGCACGTAATCAATGCATTTACCACCTATTTCTGATGCTTTTCTATTCTCAACGGAGTTCGTTCATTCTCGAATCTCACACCGCGGGAACGACTACATGAATGAATGACGAAGTCGCGGGGCCCGCCCTCAAGCGATGTGAGGGAGAGCACCAACTCCCGGCAGAATGACCCGCTTCTCCATGCAGCTGTGGAAGACCTCGCGGTCGCACCGCTTGCGGAATGGCGAGGAGACCCACGTGGTGCCGGTTGGTGGGAAGAAGCCCGGCATTTGCTCATGGCGTCCCAGCCAGTGGGCGCCCGCAAACGCTGCTATTTTCACCGCGGAAAGGCCGATTGCAACCGGGCCGCCGCAAACCTGCCAACAAGCATCGCCACGAATGGATCGAAGAGGTCGGTTGCTGCCCCGAAAAGCAACAAACAAGCTTCTCCACAAAGAGGTCGATTGCGGGGGGTGCCCCCGCAAGCCCCGCGACAAGCTTCGCGAACAGGGGGGGAAACCCGCCGCCACGAAGAGATCAGCTGCTCAAGATGGCGAGGCCATCGAGTTGCTCGCGGAGGCGTGCACCCTCCTCGCGCAGGCTCGCGTCCCAACGACGCAAGCGCTTGCCATGGCCGCTGCGCAAACCGGATGGGGACGGGCGACACGTTCCGCCGCTTGGTTTCCAAAACGCTTGCCAAGGAGTGGGCCGCCGACCCGACCACGCCACGCGGCCTTGCCAATTTGCGCTGCAGGCGCGCGCCCACACCGATGCACTCGCAGCTCACGTGCGTGCCGCTGTCCCGTAGCCCCTCAACCTACTGTTGGTGGGGGTGCTGCCGGGACGTACGCCAAGGCGAAGGGCGAGCAGGGGGATCCCCTGCCCCTGCACTATGTTAGCGCTCCTGACGACACGCGTATGGCCTTTGTGGCTGGCCTCTATGTGATCACGTCGCCGGCCCGCGCGAGGGCTGCCCCTGACGAAACGGTGGACACAGTTGAGGCCCGGTGCAGCATCGCTTCCAACCTCGGCAAAACCCGCGTAATCGCAGCTGAGGCTGGCCCGGTTCCATCGCGGATCGCGGAGCTGGGCGAGGAGAAAAGGTTGACGCCCAGCGAGGGGTTGTCGTCCTCGGTTTGCGCGTGGGGCACCACCCGGCCTTCGTGCAGGCATTCTTCCGTGACCCGCTGTAGAAGCTTCGCTCCCGCGCACCCCCAGCAGTCGGGAACGCGCGGCGTTGGTGGAGCGTCGCGATGCAGCTGACCAATGCCAATACTGCGCTGGGCTGCCCCTGGTCGGGTGGGCAGCGGAGGCACCGTCCAGACGCCAAGGACGGCGCGCAGGCCGCCCACTGGACAGCAACGGCCAATGCCCCCCACCAGCGCCGTGCCCATCCCTGGGAGGCTGCTCCACGCAGCATGGCTGGGGCGCGCGCAGATGCGCGCAGTGCGATGAGGCGCCGCACTAGACGCTGGGGCTCGTCATTCCAGCGCCCCCCGATTTCAGCAGAATGCATAAGCGATGCGGGCCCCGGCGGGTGAGCTCGGGTTAACGCGCGAGCTTGCGACGCTGCGCCGCCGCAAGTGCGACAAGTGCGACCCCATCTTCTCAGGCGCTCCAGCTTGGGGCTGTCATCGCGTCGCAAGGGCGACACCAGGGTTGCGTCGCAGCACTTACGAAGTTGAGCCTTCGGCGATCACGTGCTGCTACCCCAGGCGCCGTCGTATTTGCCAGCCACTGCTGTGGCACCACTCGCTCCTCTGGCCCGATCGCCTCCCTGACAACCTAGATCCAGGCTCTTCCGAGCATGAAGCCGCCCGGCGAGCATCGGCGAGCAAACAGACCAGTGCGCGGGCACGCCTAGGCGTGGTCTGCCAGGTTGTCGACGAGTGCGCGGCAGCCGGGCGCTCCGCTTCCTCCGCGCTTCGCACGTGTAAGAGGTAGGGGCAGACGCATTCGGCGCCGGAGCGCGAGGTGCACGAGGTCTGGCGCAAGCGTCGTTGCAGGATCGGCAGGGATGGCGGCGAGCCATGCCCCTGCATGTCAGCAGCGCGCGGTCGCTGGGCCGAATGGCTGGCATTCTTAGATAGGTGATTGGCACGTCACCGCGTTGGTCGAGTGTATCGCTCATGTCGTTTTTGTGATGGTTTTGATCCCTTGTTATTCAAAAAAAATCTTGGTCACATGCACTTCTGGAATGTGTTGCTTATTTCAATCACGCCAGTGCTGGCGTCTGCAAACTCGCAGTTCTAACGTGCTATGGTTGGATTTTGCAGCTGTCAGAGGAGGATTTCTTGCGATTGATATTTATGCTATTTTATCCATTGAATACTCCGTCCTTGATTGCAGCTCATGTACATTTCGTAGCTTCTGTGTGTCATATGCAGCGCTGACTGCTTCAAGGTTGCTAAGCCTAAGGCTTCTCTGACGCTTGTCGCCAGAAGTGCGATACGTTTGTTCGTTGCTTTTTCACAACTGGCCGAACGCGGTTGTTTGAGGTCCGAGTCTCTCTTGGAAACGCTTTTCAGCGCACACCCCACTGTGAACTCGACGCGTGACAT